GCAAGGCCGGCGAGGGTCACACGCCGATCTTGGGGCACCTGCACAGGGGGGACGTGAGACGGCCACCGGCCCCGGGGGCGAGTGCCTGAGGCCCGGCCTAGGCTGGGCAGCCCCGCACCCCGGGCTGGTCTCGTGGCATGTGCGTAGTCACGCCCTGGGCGTCGAGTCACGAACAGTCCGGTGGAACTCCGTCACTGATTGGCGCGATCGGCCGGGCACGGCCGCGCCCGCTCGATCATGCCTGCCCCAGGCCCTGGGGTCCCCCGGAACGGCGCGGCCGCGCCACCGGGCAGAGCCGAAAAGACGCCAGGACGGCCGTGCACCATCCACGGTCACCTTCCCCTCCCACTCTCTTCTTTGGCGCAGCGTGCACCTCCCTAACCGCACTCGCGCTCAGTCACACATCCACATATATTCACCCCCAACATCCCCTCGTGAAGCCTATTCCTACACAGGTGTGTATTTGCCCGGAGAGAACATGTCTGCGTGTCGCGAATCCCTCGGGTCTGGCTCCGGCGGCCATGGCCACTCGCACGGCCATGGTGCCGGAGGATGCGGCGACGGCCACGACCACGACGATACCTGGGAGCGCGGGGCCGAGTATTCGCTCTTCCGGCACATCGATCAGCCACGCACGCATGCCTACAATTGCCGGAATTTCGAGAAGGACCTGCCCATCTTCAAGCCCTGGGAGGACCGCCTGACCGAGGACCCGGTACGCGGCATTGGTGGTCCATCCCCGCCGGAATTCCCTCCCTTCCCGCCCCGCGCTAACGCCCTGGACCCCAGTTCATCATCAGCGATGCCGATGACCAGATGCTCGTTTACATTCCGTGCGCCACGGCAGCCGTGCAAATGCAGCCGCCCCTTCCTCGCCGACGCCCACACATGCCCCTGGCGTGCCTTTTTCTCTGACCCAAATGCCCATCTGCCTGCATCCCGTGCGCCTCGCCCTTGGCTCGGGCTGGCTTGAAAAGCTTCCTGGGCGGTGTCACCCTGAAGGGGTTCTCCCTGGTCGGAGGGGATGATGGCCAATGCCCGAGCAAGGTCAAGCTGTATGTCTCTCCTTGGTTGGCTGGGTTTTTTTTTGGGGGGGGGGGGTTGTCTGTTTGACGCCGCTAACCATCCCCCGGCCCACTGGCAGGTTCATCAACCGCTCTGACATTGATTTCCAAATGGCCGAGGAGCTCCCCCCGGCACAGGAGTTCCACATTCTCAACAAGCCTGGCCAGGTCATTGAGTACCAAACGCGGTGCGCCACCATGTGTCACTTGTTGGGCCGGCCCTTTGCAACTTCCCGTCGGTGCTGGCACTGACCCCTGTCCTGGACCCATCCTCGCCTGCGTGGCCATGCGGCCCATTTGCAGGATTTCCAAGTTCCAGAATGTGGAGAGCCTCACGATGTTCTTCGCCGCGAGCCACGGCGCGCCGGAGACTTCCCTCTCCTACATCGGCCTCAAAGGGGACTTCCGTCCGGTGCGTATTCGGACACGAGTGTCCACCCGCCCATCTCCCCCCAACCTGCACACACACACACACACACACACACACACACATATTAGATATATAGCCACAAACATGTCTTTGTGGGCTTGGACACATCAATGCATGTCTTGCTTCCTCCTCGTACCGGGCCCGCAGACCCCCGCCCTTATTAACCAACACCTGAATGGAAAATAAGCTCAATCGCCGGACGATCATCACCATGTACGAAGCCGCCGCCAACCCAGCCGATCACCCAGTCAAGCTCGGCACCAAGGAGTACCAAGGAAATGCGATCGACCGGTGAGCATATGGCTCGCGGCAACACTACCGGCAGCAATGAAGTCCTCTCCCACCCTCTCGCCCAGACCCGACTGGCCGTTCCTCTCGAGGGAGGGAGGGGGGGGACGGGAGAGCGGATGTTTCCCCTCGATCATACGGATCACGTGAGGGCCGCGCTCCCGAGGGTTGTGAACCCACCCTCCCGCGCATGCGTCCCTGCCGCGGGCATCCTCCATCACCGTTGGCCTTTGGGCTTTTCTTCGGATATACCCCCCCTCCCCTCCCCCCCACGACCTCCCGCCAGTCGGCACACGCACAGACCCCCGAGAGCGTTGAAACACCTTCCCGTGGCGACCGGAGAACAGGGCACAGCACGCCGATGCACAGAGAGTTGGGTTGACTCCGGCACATTGGACCTGGAGATGAGAGGAAGAGGATGAAGGAGGGATTATGCCCAGAAAAAATAATACCAAATCTCATCGAAGTTCCTCGGCGCCTGCGCATATGTTGCGTCGGGGTGTTTTTTTTTTTTCCTAGATAATAATAATGAAGATCGAGCCTCGGCATCCCCTTCGCACAAGCCAGCGGCCAGGGGAAGGGGGCTGACGCAGGCATCAGTGCCAGGTTCCCATGGACCAGACGCACCCTGGCCGGGGACAGGCCGTGAAAGCGCCCTCCCGGGCTGGGGCCGCCCCAACACACGGCGCCAAGTCGGGTCACTCTCGTGGGGATAATTACCGACGGATACTGGCCTCCTGCTGGCATTCAGTCATGGGCGGTGTGAAGTGCGACCGGTGACCCGGCTGATTCGGGCCCAGCCCTTCACACCATCCCCACTCGAATATCTTCCTCCCTCCCCTGCCTGCCTCCTCTTCCCGCGCCCTCCCCCCCCCTTTTTGCTGGCCCGTCTGCACTGCTCTGCGCCCTATCAGCCGGCCGCAGAGAGAAAGAACACCTCCCCCCCTTCCCCCCACCCACCTTCCCTCCTTGAGCCATGGCTCAGCGCTCCTGGCTCTCGCGAACGCTGGGCGTTGTGCGAACGTGCTTCTTCTATGTCGGCATCGGCTCCCTCTCGCTGGTAGCCTTCCCCCTGTGCACTGGGACACGCTTGCTCTTCGGTCACCGGTGGGCCAAGCGCCTACATGAGATCATTCTCGGCTATGGGTCACTCATGTGGATGGGCTCCATCGGCCTCTGGAGCGGGCGCCTGGTTGAGACCCCGGCCGTGGAGCTCCTTCGGCAGGAGGGCTGGCGCAGGAGCTTTGTCGTTGCCCCGAACCATGCCAGTACGAGCACCCCCCATCCCACTACCCTCCTGCCCTCCTTCCCCCCTGCCCCCCGCCCCCCTCCCGGTGCTCCATGCCACTGACATCCTTTCCTCCCCCTTCTCTCCTTGCCAGGCTTCATCGATCACTGCCTGGTGTCGTACCTGCCGATCCCGAAGAAGTACCTGACCAAGCAGTCGTACTTCTCGCTGCCCGTGTTCGGCTGGTCGCAGTGGATTGTCGGGGACATCGGTGTTGATGTGGCGTCGCGCGAGTCGCGTGCCCTGTCGCTGCAGGCTTGCGATGCGATGCTCAAGTCCTCCAGTGCTCCCTCCTCGGTGGTCATCTATCCGGAGGGGACCCGCTCGCCGGATGCCCCGGCCCTGCGGCCTTTCCGCGACGGGGCCTTCCGCCTGGCCTTGTCCAGTGGCTCGCCGGTGCTCCCGTGTGTGTTGGTCAACACCTACCGGGCCATGCCGCATGGCATGCGTGCCGGCTACGCGGAGATGCTCATCATCACGGGCCAGCCGCTGCGCGTCGAGTCCGAGGAGGACATCCCTCGCGTGCGAGAGCTCGTGCGCGATTGGATGGCCTTCATTTTGGAGCTGGTGCGCCCTTCTGGATTCCCTCCCCCTGCCCTCTTTTCCCTTCTCCCCCCCCCCCTCCCCCTCGAATTCCGCTGGAGTCCTCCTTTGTATCATTCACTCGGTCCACTGACTTCTGTTCCCCCCACTTGTCGCTGGCCCCCTGCCCATGGAAACCCACATGAACCATCCCCCCCCCCCCTCCAGTATGAGAACGCTCCGGATGGGGATATCGAAGCTGTGACGGCGCAAATTGAGCGTTGCGCTGGCGTGCCGCTGCCGCCGTACCATGCGGCGGTTGGCACTCCGGCCGAAACCGGCGATCTCCCGATGCATCTGGTTGATCTGGAGGTCTTCGGTGCCTGGAGGCAGGCCCTTGTCACGGAGGCCGTGTCCAAGGTCCTTGAAGAGGTCGAGCCGGAGCCCGCCCTGGTCGAGGCCGAGTCGGAGCCCGCCTCGGCCGAGGCTGAGCCGGAGTCTGCCATGGCCGAGGCCGAAGCCAGTGTTGGTGCCACGCTGTCCAAGACGGTGGTCGAGACCGGCATCGAGACTGTGGCTGAGTAGCCTCTTGGCATGCTTCCTTCCCCATTCATTATCCCCCTCTTCCTTCTTCGCCCTTTTTCCTTCCCCTTACACCTTTTGTTTGCGAACAATTGATGGGTACTCTTGCTTGCTTGCTTGCGCGCGCGCGTTCACGAGAGCCCCTCCCAGCAAATGATGATAATAATACACACTTATAGACACCGCACTTGTCCTGATCCCTGGCGCCCGAGGCACGCGCGCACACCCGCACGCCCGCAAGCAACGGGTTCACGGATGTGCGGAACACATTTCCGGTGTCAAGGGCTCAGCGACACACATGCCCTTTCTGAATGCATGCATGCATGTATGTTCATGTCTTTGTATTTGGCCTGCTTTCGGCGAGCTGGACGGATGTTTCATCATGGCCAGAGCATGTCCCTTAGTTTGAGAGCTTGAGAATCTCCGCCCGGAAGGTGGCCTCGTCCATGAGAGTCCCATATGTGGGTAGATCGCCCGGGGGGGTTTCCTCGCCACAGCGAAAGGCATCGAGAGTCATGTCTAGACAGCTGGTCAGGGGATGGAGGGGAGGCGGAGGAAGGCGCGTGCGTGTGCCGGCGGACCGGGGAAAGGGCCGTACCACTGATGGCCTTCTCGCCACGGATAGCCGGCGCCGGTGGCGGAGGGGCCACATACTCATGTTCGCTATCCTCATTGAGCTGCATTGTCGTGAAGTCCGGGGTCGGGACAGGGAGGAGGGGGGTTAGAGAGGTGGCGAGGGAAGGTCCCCTCAAGAGCCGGGGCATTCTCTCCCAACCGGCGAAAGCAGAGCAGGCCCTGGCGGCATGCACGGCGCGCACGCATTACGCACCATGTGCGACCGGTCCGAGGCGAAGTAGGCCAAGTAGTCTTCAGCCGGAAGGACGCGGAATTGCCTGGATCACATGGGGCGACCGTATTAGTGGCCATTCCGCAGGTGGCCCCTTCTCGAGGGGGGCCGCAGCGAACAGACAACAGGAAGGCCGAAGGGCAGCGGCTAGCCCGGCCCCAGAGGGGAAACATACCGTTGGTTCTTGAGACGAATGGAAAAGGTGGCCTCCTCGAGGGACTGGCTGGCGAAGGAGGCCGCCGTGCAGGGAAAGAAGTCGGCCACAAAATCGAAATCCCAAACCAGCACACCGGAGGGATCATCAACCAATGTGGCCGGACGCATGCGTGGCAGCCGGGCCGAGGGGACAACGGTCGCCAGGGCGACCACCTCCGGCCCGGGGGGCGGCCCTGGAGCCCGAGGTGCCGATACCCCGGCGCCCACCCCCGCCAGCAGGGGCAGGACCGCTGCCGGGGTCACCAGGATGACATGATAGTCGATGAGACTCCACAGGCAGCCGGCCGAGCTCGGGTCCATCGGCCACCGGGGGAGATACTCATCGGAGAAGGTGCTCCAGCTCAGGTGCACATAGCCCGAGGAGCCGGTCATGAAGACCACCGAGCACTGGGCCGCCAGGTCTGGCCGGCCGGCATCTTGAAGTTGCTTCACAATCTGCCTTGCCAGGCGGTAGATATTTTCCTCGCAATATTGGATGGCATAGTAGGGCTGGCCGGTGTTGGGGTCAATGGTCAACTGGGGCAAATGCAGCCGGGCATCAGGCAAGTCCGGGGCCACCAGGCCCTCAGTAGACAGCTCGGCCAGCCACTTTCGCCGAGAGGGGTCGGAGATCATGGCCTACAGTCGCCACACAGGAGGGAGGACAGGGAGGCCGGGGCGGGGGTGGGAAAGGGGCGGAGGTGGGAAAGGGGGCGGGGGGAGGACGGGAGGGGCAGTGGCACAGGCGAGATGTGCGGAGGGGGGGGGGGAAGGGAAGGAGGGACGACAAGGGGCTGCGTAGGCACTGGTCATGCATGGTGAAGAGGGTGATCCCACAACTGGGGCCTGGCTGTGGCTCCTAAATCGGCTGGGGATCTCCTTCCGCCGGTCCTTCCCGTCCCCGCGTCCCCAGTAACAGGCCTGGGGGTTGTTCCTGTTGACCTGGGTTGTTCGATCGCCGGGGTGGGGGCGGGCGGGCGGGGGGAGACAAGGGCACATGTTGCTCGGCGGGTGGAACTTCTGCAGGGTTCGGCGTGACCCCTGCCAGGTGCTGGCTCCTCGGCCGGGGTGAAAAAAATGGCGCGATCGGCGACACCTGCCCCCGCGGCCGCATGGGGAGAAGGCATGCCCCCCCGCCCCCTCGTCAGCTCCGCCGGGTCCCGGGGCCCCCCTCCCCCCAATTTCGCCCCACCCGCCAGAGACTCACCACCCAGGCCCCCGGCGAACGCGGGGGGGGGGGGGGGGGGGGGGGGGGACCACCACGCTTGCACACGAGGGGAGCGTGGGGCGAGGGGGGGGTGAGAACCGCCGCGAGACATCCGGGGCCGAGCGGTGGCACTTCCTGCCGGGGCAGCGTCCTCGTCGAACTCTTGTCAACACCCGCCGGCCGGCCCAACGCCGGAGCCCGTCGGCCCTCCGCCGGGCCCCGTTTCCCCCCCCCCCCTCCCCTCCCCCCAACGCAAGATCCCGGTCAGTCTTTTGTTTGCCCAAAATGCGAACGGGCGGCGGTCGCGCATGCCGGTTTCCCATTTATTCCTGCCGGGCGTGGAGACACGCCCGTTGCCGTGGCGGGCGGCGATGATCATCCGCCGACACACCAGGGGGACCGAGGCTCCGGCGACGTCGCCGAGATCACCCCCGCCGGGGCCGCCTAGATGACCAAATATTGGTCCATGATGGTGGCGGCCTGGGCCCAGTTCCCTTGGTGCACGTAGATCAAGTGCAGATTGTAGGCCGCCTCGTAGCGCAGATCCGAGTCGTACTGCACGCGCTATGGTTTGGCCACGTCGGTGCGCGCGCATGCCGGTCGGATGCCGGGTTTTTTTTTCCCCCCCTCCCCCGACAGCACGCCGAAGGAAAGTCGCAGGACGCGAGGAGAGTCGGTCGGGTTAGGGAAAAGAAAGAAAGAAAAAAAGAAGGGCCAAATGCACAAGGGTGCAGGTGTGGGGCTCGTCGGCGTCGGGGCCTTCTCTCCCCCCGTCCCCCATCGCTCACGCACCTCATACTCCGAAGAGAGACCCAGCGCACGCAGGTAGCACGGAATGGCCAAATAGTTGAGGCCAACATGCTGATACGCGCGGCCGAGATTGTAGAAAGCCTCCTGCGATCGGACGACCGCCGAACTCCCAAGCCCAGCCGAGTCATCCGGCAGCAGCATGTCCAATTGCCGATCGAAGGACCGGGCCAGGATGGCCGGCATGTCGGGCATGGCCGGCGGAGCGCCGGCCATCGGGGGTGTTCCCCCGAGCCCGGGGGCCGCCAAGGTGGCCATGGGCCCCGGGTCCTGCGGGGACTGGGGGGCTGGCGCATGCTCGGGCTGCGCCTCTTGCCCCGGGGTGGGAAGCCCATCGCCCGGGGGACCCAGGGTGCCGGACCGGGTCCGGAGCTCCGCATACCGATAGAAGAAGGTGAATGCCTGAAGGAGGAGCATGTGGCGATTGGTGGCGATGCGCTGCATGGACCGCTCGAGCAGGACCACAGCCAGGCAGAGATTCGTCAGGGGCAGATGCGGACGAATGGTCAAGGCCTGGGTGTAGTACATGAGGGCCAGGCCGAGGGAGCGCTTCGCCAGCATCTGGTGCCCGGCCATCAGGTGCAGGGCCGGGGTCCGGTCGCGACTGAGCTCCGACTGCAGGAGGCGCTGCACAAACCGGAAGACCACCGTGTCGCTGAGTGTACGCGCGGCGGTCGGCCCAGCGGCGCATGCCACGTGCCACAGGTTGACGGCGGCCTCCACGCGCGGGCGTTCGGCCTCCTTGCCGGAGAAGAACCACCGGGTGCTGTCCAGCGCAAAGCGCAAGTCCCCGGCCCACACGCCGGCGGCCAACTGCAACAGGCGCAGGCGCTGCTGGCGGCCCGGCGTCCGGCCCAGCACATTACTGGCTTCCAGGAGTTGGACCGCGTGCAGAGCTCGGTCCGGCCGGCCGGCCCGCAGCTGGCAGTCCATGTACTGGGCGGTCAAGCGAAGCCACATTTCCCCGGGAATGCCGCCATCGGCCAGGCGTGACAGGTGACGCTGGCTGAGGGCCTCCCCGGGGCCCGTGCCGGACCCGGCGGAAAGCTGGTGAGACAGCCCGGCACGCGAGTCCTCCGGGGCATGGGGATCAAATTCGAGGGCCGCCTCGCGCAGGCGGTCAAACAGCCGGTCACACGCGGCCAAAAAGGCCGCGGGATCGCGCGGCGCATTGGTCCACTGCCCGGCGCCGGTCGGATCGCCGATGTCTGCGCCGACACGCGACCCGGCCACCGACCCGGACTCCAGGGTCCCATGGGCTCGCAGCACCCGACGATAGCACTCCCCAAGCAGGGCCGATGCCGCGGCCACGCTGCGCTGCTGCGCCGGGCTGATGGGCGTCGAGTAGCAATTCAGCAGGGCCGCCCGACGAGCGCGAGGCCCGGCGTGCGACGAAGCCGCGCCCCCGGGCCCATGGTCGCCACCGGCCCCGGAGCCCGGGCCACCGGTCGAGGAATCCCCCTCGCTGGCCAGTTGGCTGCCGGTGCTGCGCCAGTTCATGGCCGCCGCGTCGATGATATCCTGTCGAAGGGGCCGGCCGTCGGGAATCCCGGCCCCGGAGGCGACCGAGTCTTTCAGCCGGGCCAAGATCAAGTGCAGCTGCATGCGCATGGGCTCCACGCGCAGCGCATCCTCATAGAGCTCGATGGCGCGTGGTGCGTTGTTGGCATTCAAGTGGCAATATGCCAGCCGAAGCCACACCGGAACCGAGTCATACTGCAGGGGCGAGGTGTCAATGATGGGCATGGCCGGTGTGCATGTGCACATGGAGGCGATGGGCACCGGCGGGGGGACGGGTTGGGGGGGGGGGGGGGGGGGGGGGGGGGGGGGGGGGGGGGGTGGGCGAGAGGAGGGCGTGCACAGGGGGGCGTATGTGTGTGTGCACCCACGTTGGGGCGTGTGGCGGTGTGTGAGTGTGCGCAGTCTCCCCCACTGAAGGATGAGGGGCCGGAAGGGACGGATGGCAAACGGAGCACAGGACAAATGCAAGGGCGGGAAGAGGGAGCAAGCTCGTCGGCAGCCAGCAGAGGGTTCATCTGGGGACCCCTCGGCCGGACCAGATGTGTTCAGGAAGTCCGGGCACTGGGCCCAGCCCGAGGCGGGGGGCGGCGGCCGTTTTCGCTCGACGGTGTCCCACCCGGCATCCGGCTCCCGGCGAGCGCACGAAGGTCCCAGGCCGCCATGCCGCCAAAAGGAGAGAGGGCGGGGGCGGGGGGGGGGGGGGGGGGGGGGGGGGGTGGGGGGCGGTGATGGACCTGATCAATTTCCAAGATCTGCTCATAGATGGCCTCGGCCTTGGACCAGAGGGACAGATCGAAATAGGCGTCCGCAATTTCCAGGTAGATGTCGCTGTAGGTGCTGAAGTTGTCCAACTTCACCATGTCCAAGATGGCCTGGAAGGAGGCAGAGCAGGAGGAAGCCAGCGCAAAGGCGTCGGCACATGTGTGGTCAGTGGTGATGAGGGCCCCTCGGCCATGATGGATGGCGTGATGTGACTGCCGGGCAAAGGCCCTCGCCCGGTCCCAACACCGGGGAATGCGCACCGTGGCCTCTTGCGGCTTATGGAGCTTGATCTTGGCCTGGGCCAGCTTCACCAGCAGCTCCAGGGGGAGGACCGACAGATCGCCCGGATCCGGGCCGGGGCTCGTGTCACCGGCGAGAGACCGCTCGGCCCGGATCTCCGCCTGGGCATAGGGGAGGGCGAACATCTCGATGATGCGCACCACCCGCGAAAAGCGCCGCAGCATGATGTATAGCTCGCACAGCATGTTGGCATCCGACAGGTTGAGCTCCACCGGGGCCGGCATCGGTTCGGACTCAAAGTCCCCGAGGCCCAGCTGGGTCAGCAGGACCATGCGCTGCTGGTGGTCCTCCAGAGTGTACCGAGTGGCGGCGCGCTGGCGCTGCGTCACAAAGGCCGCCTCATACTGGCGGACCGCCGCGGGCAGCTGATTGGTCTTGGTGTACAGGCGCACCAGCTCCCGGGCCACCAGGAGCTCGGAGCCGGCGGGGATGGACACGGCCGCGGCCGCGGCCGCCGCGGCCGCCGCCGTCACCTCCTTCTCATCCTGGTCCTCCTCATCATCGCTGCCATGGTAGGGGCCGTAGCCGGACGCGCGGCCGCCCGGGCCCCCGGCGAGGCGCCCATCTCCGGCGATCTTGCTGCGTCGGGCGCCGCCCAGTTGGCTGAGGGCCTCGATCGAGGGGAGGGCTTCCAACGCGCGGCGGTGCTCCTCCAGCGAGTCAATCAGCTGCCGGTAGGACTCGATGGCGCGGCGGGGGTCGCCGCGCTCGGCCTGCAACTGGGCCCGATACCACAGGGCATCCGGGTCCTTGGGCCGGAGGCCGAGGGTTCGCGAGAAGCAATACAGCGCCTGGTCGGCCTGGCCCTGTTCATAGCTCATGATGCCCACCCGGCGCCACATGTCGGGATCCCGGCGGGACAGATGGGCCGCGATGAGGTAGAACTGCAGCGCTCGGGCCGGGTCGTTTTGGGCGTCCGAGATGGACCCCAGGGTCTGGTACGGCGACAGGGCCTGGGGCGCCTCGCGGATGACCTGCCACAGGAGCAGCGTCGCCTTTTGGAAGTCATTGTTGATGTATGCCAGGTTGGCCTGCCCCATGATGTCGGTCATGTGTGCTGGGATCTCGCCAATGCGCCGGCGCTGGCATGAGGGCCGAAGGCGCGAGGGGGGGGGGGGGGGTCAGCTCTTAGACCGGGGCGGAGGGAAGGGAGAGAGAGAGGGAGAGGAACACCGGGTACACACACACACACACACACACGGGCGAGCAGTGGGGCGGGGACATGCGGGGTGCGCGTGCGCGGGGGAGGGGGGGAGGAATGTTGTAACGCACACCACTACGCTCCTTGCGGCGGCGCCCGGAGCTGCGCCCAGGTGTGGGGACTCGTCCTGGGGGCCCCAGCGACCCGGTACCCGGGAGGCCGAGGCCAGGCCGGCCGCGACGTGGCTCCTGACGCTTGGCCAGGTCGGCGATGAGGGCCACACGGTCCTCGGCCGGGGCGTCGACGGCGATGGCGGCCGCGGCGGCCGCAGTCGCAGCAGCCCCGGCGCTGTCCAGCTCGGCGGCGCTGGTCATCAGCCGGTGGAGCTGGGACATGCGTGAGGGGAGGGTAATGCCGCCATCGCCCACGCGGGGGCGCTTCGGCGGAGTCGGTTTCGCCTCTCCCGGGGGAAGGGTGATCTGAGTGAGGGTGAGCGTCGGTAGCTCGGGTGCCAGGGCGAGCGGCTCGCTGTTGGCGTCATCAAATTCGGAAGAGTCATCTCCGGAGGAGATCTCACTCTCCGGCTCGGGAGCGATCCTCGGGGAGAGGACCTCCGGCGGGGCATGCCGAGGGGGCATTTGCGCAAGATACCGCGAGGGGGGGTCACGAGAGGGGAAGGGGCGAGAGAGAGAGAGAGGGAGGGAGGGAGAGAGAGAGAGAGAGAGGGAGAGAGAGGGAGAGAGAGGGAGAGAGAGAAAGAGGGCAAGGGCCGAGGAGGGAGGGGGTAAAACAGGCGAGGAAAAACGGATGGCGGGGCAATTTTATCCAGGCGTTCCCCCGAGGTCCTCCCAACCTCAGTGCCTCTTGGCGTCCGAGGCGTTCCAGCGGGGGGCCCAAGGAAAAAAATGATCGGCCTCGGGGGGGGGAGGTGTGGGGGCGGATTGACACCGAAACGGCTGCGAGGATGTCCTTCCCCCCCTGCCACACGGCCAGCCACCTTCGGGCTTTTTGTGCGCTGCCCGCCCCCCTGCCCGCCGCGCCCTTGTCCGACGCCCATCTCGGCCTGCCTCAAGAAGACACAACAGCGGTTGGGCGGGGGGGGAAAAAATGCCGCGAAAGATTAGAGTCCATTCACTGGTCCGGCAATGCATTGGCAGTTGGGGCAATCCGGCGGACGAGTCCCTCGAGCAGAGCCTGCATCGATCGCGCGGGCGCCGGCCGAAATGTGCGCACCCCCCCGGTCAGGCACGGTCGCACATATGGCGCACACACCAGGGGTGGGTGGGGGAGGGGGCGTGAGGAGTTAGTTACAGCACTGCGAGGAATGGGGCTAGCCGCCTGACAAATGCGGGGCGCCGGGGACGAGACAGTGGGCATGGGAGCGCGATTCCGGCAGGGCACGTACAACCACCTCGCCGACCGGGCGGTGCGGCGCCCGAAGGACCGACCCCAGCAACTGGTCGATGTGCGGCAGCAGGCCTGGGTCCGGGTGGCCGGCGAGGTCCAAGAGGGCGCCGCGATGCTCAATCAGAGCGCCACCCGGGAGCAGCAGGCAAGCCGGCAGGACGCCGTTGGGCGACAGGCCGGCTTCCACCGCCAGGCAGACAATCAAACTGGCCGCCTGGACAGTGGCATCTACCAGGCGCTTGGGCAGGGTCATCGGCCGGGGCCCATCGTCAGGCTCGGCCAGGGCCGCGCGGGCAGCTTCCCGTCGAAGCTGATCCAGCATCCCGGCCAACTTGGCTTGGTGGCCCTCGCGGCGGCTGTCCGCGAGTTTGCTACGGCCAGGGCCACAGTGGGGAGCCGGGTCAGGGGATGAACAGGCGGGGTGAGAGGGGGGAAGCGAGACAAAGAGAGAGAGAAAAGGCCAAGGGGAGGTGAGGGGAGAAAAAGAGGGGCGGGCTGCCCGCGAGGTGGCATTTCGAAGGCGCAGGCGCACGGGAAATCCAATGGGCCAACCGCGGCCGGCGTGGCTGCACGCAAGAGCGTCAGCGCCTCGAACATGAGATCCGCCAGCAGGCTGGCCAAGTGGCCAAGGAGCGGGTCCGAGGAGTCCGCCGATCCGGCCGGCGGCCGGAGCAATGGCTCGAGACCCTGTCGACTGGGGGCAGCGCCCTCGGCCAGGGTCCAGCACAGGGCAGCGGCGTCGCACGAATCCGACCCATGGGGTTGGCCTTGGCCCGGGCTGTCCAGGGCCTCAGGCCGCGCGCATGCCATGCCCAAGCGAGTCAGCGCGGTCAAGGTGGCCCACAGCCCGGGGAAGAGGTCCTCCCCCGGGCAGCGCCGCAGGAGCTCGAAAAGCGGGGCCAAATCCCCGGCAGCTGGCTGGCAATGGGTCAACTGCCCGAGCAGGGCTTCCACCGAGGTGGCGGACGACCGGCCAGCTCGCGAGGGGGGCCCCGCCGGCCAGAGCGCCTCGTCAAGCACTCCCGGCCCAGCGCCCCCGGCCTGAGACAGCAGCCCGGCCAGCAAGTCCCGAGTAAGGAACATGGAGGCATGCTTGATTGAGGCCAGGCTGGCATCGGCGCTGCCACGGACCCCGGCCCCGGAAAGCACGTGGCCCGCACGCAGGACGCTGGCCGCCAGGGCGAGGCCCGATGCCGCGGCACCGGCCAGGGCGGAGCCCCCCGGGTGAGATGGCGACTGGCCGCTGCCAGCCGGCCGACCAGCCGGCCATGGCCATGCCGGCTGCGGACATTGGACATCCCGTAGCCCGGCCAGGAGCCGGTCATTGACCAGGTGCGTCAGGCGCCGGGACAAGTCCGCGAGCGTCGGACCGGCGAGCAGCGGCAAAAGGCCCGCCACCAGGGCGGGCGTTAGGTCGAAGTGCTCGCGAAGCAAGCCGCCCAGGTGCTCGAGCAGGGCTGGCGCTTGGCAAATGGCCTGGGCTTGGCCGAGAGCCAGGAGGCCGGTCGGCGCCAGGACCCGCGGCAACCGGGCCAAGTGTGCGACCGTATGCCGGACCAGACCCCGAAGAGTGGCGTCGGCCTGGCGCTGCCAGCGCGCTGGGCCGGTGCCCTGGCGCCGGCGCCGTGGGCCCCAAGTGCCGGTGGCCGGGGCCGGGGCCCTGCCATCGGCCGGGATTCCCGGCAGGAAGGCCGCCATCGCGGCGCGAAGGAGCCCCGACACCCCGGCACCGGCCAGCAGGAAGCCCCATCCATGGCCAGCTGACGGGGCCTCGGCCGGAGGACGGCCCGACGAAAGGAGGAGGAAGGTGGCACCGCCAGGCGCCGGGGGCGGCAGCACGGCGTCCGAAGGACGAAGGTCCACCACCTCCACACTTTTCGGGCCCGAAGCAGCCACCTCACCGGGTTCGCCCGCCGGGTCCGCGAGCAGGAGATCGACCAATGCCGGGGCGGACGGATGCTCGGCAGGTAGACCGGACGCCGGGAGCAGCAGCAGGCGCGCCGGGGCGCCGGCCGCAGGAAGCGCCTCGAACAGGGCCGCGCGGATCAGGTCCAGGGCCAGATTCTCGGAGATATCCTCATCCAGGAGCTCCTGGTTTTTTTTTTTTTTTTTTTTTTTGGAATCGCCACCGATGCAGGTAAGAATCCGAGCCCAGGGGGCGGAGAGGACATGGGGAGGGAGGGGGCTTTCGCCCCTTTGCTTGGCCCTCCTCGCGCAGGCCGAAGAGCCCAGACGTACCGACACCATGAAGCCAAGGGACTCCTCTTGGCTGAAGACCGGGTCGAGGAGGAGTTGCGCCGTGGCGGCTGCCAGGCCGCAGCGGGAGATGTAGCGCTCCGGCTCCAGGAGCATGGACGCCGTCTCGCGCAGAGGCACATCCCCGAGGTAGCTAGCAGGCCGGGGGTACAGGGTCAGAGGCGGCGCGAGTGCAGAGCATGCCATGGCACCGCTCGGGGAGGCTGCAAAGAGGACGCACAGTTTGGCCGAGGCCTGGGGATGCTGGGCACCAATCGATCGGAGCCATGAAAAGGCTGGCAAGTGGCCGAGGGGAGCAGCTGTCAGGGGGGGGGGGGGGGGAGGCCACATCGAGGGGCCCGGCTCGAGAGCCAGGGCGAAGGGGAGAGCGACGGAAAGAGGGCGAGGCACATACACAAGAAGCCCGCCTTGTCCAGCTGGTCCTGGAGCAGGGTGCGCAGGGCTTGATGATAGTCCTCCGACACGAAGACCATGCTGGCTGCCGGGGCGCCCGTGACAGGGATCGGATGCGGGAAGGCAATGTATGCCTCTGCCTGGTCCGGGGTCAGGCGTGCTGCTCCGGCAGGCTCCGGAGCCCCGGCCACAAGCCGGCCGCGCAGGGGGCTGGCCGCGAGCCGCGAGCGCAGGGCGGTGGTCACGTCTGCGGAGGAAGGCGGGTTAGATGGGCGCACATGGGCGGCCGGCATGTGTTCCGTGGCAAGAAAGGCAGCGCACTTTCCCACAATGGCGGCGGGATGCCCAGCTGGGTGAGGACCTTGGCCAGGAGCACCGGTCTGAGGGGGGGGGGGGGGCAGCGCGATGAGCATGTTAGAGGCCGAGCGAGGCATGGACCCCGGGGCAGGGAGGATCGCACCTGACCGAGGACTCGAAGGCCGCGCACACTTGGTCCGCAACTTGGGCCAAGTAGTGCCCGGTGAAGAGGGCCCCGCTCAGCGGACAGAGGGTCACCGTGTTGGGCCGGCCGTCGGGCGACTCCAGCGCCAAAAGCCGCCGGATACCCGGGACAACATGACTGCGAATGAAGGGCCCGGGCAGATCCACGAGCGTGGCCAAGTCCGCCGCGCCGAGGAACCCGCCAGCCTGGCGCAGGGCCTCGGCCCCGAGTTCGGCCGCTCTCTCGACATAATGGCTGGCCCGGCCCATGGAGCGTGCGTGCGCGCGTGCAGACACACCAACGGCGACAGGCGGGCAGACAAAGAGGCAGGTGAGTGGCTGGCGCCCCGTCCGGGCGGGCGCGGCGGTCGGGCCAGGCCATCCCTCGGACGCCAAAGGGAGAGGCCCCAGCCCGGGCGTACCTTGAAGTGAGGCAGCCGCCGACGATCTGGAACTCTCCACCGGTGCGTTGGACCAGGTGCGTGGCCAGGTCGCTGGTGAGCTCCGGGCCGACATTCAAATGCCCGGCCAGGTGAGCATCCACCGGGCATCGGCCGCCGACAGCCGTCACATAGTCGCCCAGCCGCCGAAGCAGGTACCCCAGGCTGAGATACTCCTATCGACGGGGGGCATGGCGAAGCAGAGCTCAGTATGCAGCTTGGCAAGGTCCAGAGGAGGAAGGGACAGACAGAGCACGGGCAGCGCACTTTCTCATCGGCCGAAAGGTAACACGAGTCGCTGCCGGGCCCGACCCCGGCCAGGGCCAAAGCGATAATGTCGTGGATGAGGTGTTCCGGGAGGAGGGCGGCTCCGGGGGCTCGGGCACCGGGCGCCAGGCCGGACGCCTGAGACTGGGCCTGGGCCAGAGCGCGGCGGAGGCCCTCCAAATTGTTCATCGCGGAGGGGGATTAATGCGAGGCGCGGGGCGGCGGGGCGGGGCGGGGCGGGGCG